AGTTTTAGCAGTTTTTGTTGAAGTCTTTAGGGTTTTCTGTATGGAGTATCATGTCATCTCTATATGGTAGAAGTTCTACCTCTTCTCTTCCAATTTGAATACCTTTTATTTCTGTTTCTTGTCTGACTGCTCTGGCTAGGACTTCCAATACTATATTGATAGATGTGGTGAGAGTGAATATCCTTGTCTTATTCCAGATTTTAGTGGGAAGGCTTACAGCTTTTCATCATTGAGTATTATGTAGGCTATAGGTTTGTCATAAAGTTGAAATATGTTCCCACTATGCCTACTTTGGTAAAAATTTTTATCATGAATGGATGTTGAATTTTACCAAATACTTTTTCTGTGTCTTGCAGTAAAGTGGTTTTGATACTGATAACAGATATTTATGTAAGATACATGTTTTTTGTCTTGGGGTGGGTTACCAAAAGAAGAATAGTTAGTTCTGTCTGGGTTTAGGTGAAAGAAAGGAGATTGACAAAGACTCTACAGAGAAGGACTGAACTGAACTTGAATTTGAATATTATTTGAACTGGATAATAGATAAATAATATAAATTTGAACTGAATTTGGATGTTATTCATCATATGAACAAGATAAGGAAGGTATAATAGCACAGGACTGTAGGACTAAGTCAGCATAAAGCCTCAAGACCTACAGAGAGCCTGTGTGGCTAGATTGCAAACATGAGATAAAACATGTAAGGGATAGCTAGAACAAGTGGAAAAGGTTTTACGTGACACAAAAGTTTGGACTTTTATGAGAAGCCATGACAGTTTCAAGTAGAGTCTGTCAGCTATTCATAAACATGTTCTAGGAAGACCACTCTATTCAAATATGACAAAGATTAGAGGCAAGAAATCCACTTAGAAGGTTATTACAGAGGCACGGGGAAGAGGGATGAAAGAGTAGCATCCATGGAGTGGAAGGGAAAAAACTGTAAGACATGAGGAAAGGGATTTGTCTAAAATCCCTGAATGGATGAAGGATGAGGAAAGACGAGGAAGGTCTCTATAATCCACGTTAGCTTTTGCGTCCTATGAGTCAGTTATTCAAGACTGCTAGGTCAAAACCTCTTGATTCAAGAGAAGATTTTCATAAACATAACGTAAATATGTTTTAGAGCTTGATATTTTGAATTCTTGCTTTTAAACTATTGGAATCATTGTGTTTTTGAAGGGAACTTAATATTTGTGCCAAATGAGTCAGGTATAAAAAATTGATTCTTTATTCAGAAGATATACCATAGACAAGTAAATGGGCACTGTTAAGTCACCCTGAATCATGTGGCATATTGTGAAGAGGCAAAAACAGTCCGGTTAAGTGCTCACATTCAGAAATCCTATGATATAGCTTAATATAAATACCCAGGAGACTCAGAAAGCCCGAAAGAAGAACAAAGCCTGTAAGAAGCACCCACAGCTAACCTGAAGTCAGAATGCATGCTTAAAGTTCCTCCTACCCATTTCCACCCATCTTCGATTTGTTTCAGTTTTTTTACTCTGGCTGTGTTTGTCACTTAGCAAATTTCTGGAGGCTATCTCTCCTTGATCCCACCCCATTCAGTCCAGCCCATTCTAAGAACACACCAATAGCTTGGTTCTCACAAAGGCTACCGTGTCTTCTCCACTGCCAGCTCATCGAGTGTCTCCCTCCTCAGCCTACTTGATCTTTATGTCATGATTATGAAATTCTCTCATTTTCCCTCTGTGACATCATGATCACCCTTGTTTTCATTCACCTCTGTCCATTTTGCCACTGTCGGGTCATGGGCTCCTCCTTCCTGGAGCTCTCTATGTACTGTCCCTGGGCCATTCATCCACACAAACAACTTCTGTGTGTAGCTAGTGTCTCTTCTAGGGCCTGAGTCATGTCCTTATGTTCCCAAAACAAAAGTCTAACTTTCTATTAAACATCTTCACCTGTTTGTCCTTCAGGCAACTCAAATTTAACACATCCAAAAGTGAACTCCTTCTTCCTCAAATGTTTGCTTTTTCTGATTACAATCTCTCATCTTGTCATGACTATATCTCTGCATTCATCTGCTCACGTACACACCTTTTCACGCTTCCTTCTCAGGCAAACCTTGCCACGCTAAGCAAGTTGAACCTCATTTTTTCTCGCAGATATATTGTACTTTATTAATTCTGAGTCTTTGCACATACTTAGAAGACCTTCTTGTTACACATAAGAATAAATATATACATACAATCATTTACTTTACCTGAGTTTTACTGAACATTCAAACCTCTGTGCAAGACTTACTTCCTCCAGAAAAATTTTTGACTTTAGGCCTCCATTATTAAATACCCATCTTTTGTAGTTTTATGGTGGATTATACTCTATTACAGCAGTTCTCAATTAGGGTGGGAGGGAGAAGGGTGGGAGTGGGAGGTAGGAGGGTAATTTTTGTCCTTAGGGGACATTTGACAATGTCTAGAGATACTTGGTTGTAATAAAGCATTGGGGTGCTCCCAGCACCTGATGCTAAATAAATAGAAGCCAGGATGCTGCTAAATATCCTACAATGTAAAGCCCCTACAACGAAGAATCATTCAGTACTAAATATCATTAGTGCCGAGGGTGAGAAAACCCATTCTATTGTAATTGCATACTATTTCTTTTTCTATTTCTGTCACTAAACTATAAGGTTTGGAGAAGAGGAATTGTGTCTTATTTGACATTGTACATACAATAGCTAACAGCTATATGCAGGAAGTAAAGCTGCTTGGCAGATGGTAAATGCTCAGTAAACCTGAGCACATAAGCAGGTGGGATAGATTGATGGATGGTTTGAATGGCGTCACATTCAGACCCAGGGAGAAAAACTACATATGTGGACAGAGGGCAATAGGTTCTGAGGTTATACTTCAAAAATAGCCTTGAAGCCACTTCTACTGTTTGAAGTCTGATCATGGAGAGTGGTAGGAGGGCTCAAGCTATGGATTCATGTTTCTGTCTTGTTGCATATTTAAATATATTTTATTTTACTTATTTAAATATTGTGCTATATTACTTGTTGAGTGAGATATAAAAATGTATATGTTTGTACCCATTACTAGTAACTGACATAGTTCTAAGTACCTACTATAAGCAAGACGTTTTAGCATGTTGTGATGGGAGAATAGGGTTTGGTTTAAATTCTGGCTTAGTTTCAATACTGAGTTTTATATACCTAAGCAAGTGTAATAGTGTCATTTTCTCAGCTATAAGCATAGTGTTGTTTTGATAATTACATGGACTAAAGTACTTATTATGGAAAACAGTTCCTTCTGCCTCTTCTGAAAACTGCCAATATTAGTTTGGAATTGCACTTGACTCAGAGACAGAACTGATAGTAATGGCTTATGAAGGTAGTTTATTTTTCTCCCACACAAAAGAAGTCTGGAGGTCTACAATCCAACATTTGTATTATGCCTCCAAAAATTCATTAAGGAAACCAGGCTCTTTTTAGCTTAACATTTTGCCAGTCCTAAATATGGTCCTGGTACTTAGAATGTCTACTAGAGCTCCACTCACCACTTCTGTTTGCCAGGCAGCAGTCTAGAGGGTAGGTTGAAGAAAGTCATGCCCTCTTTCTTTTAAGGAGTCTTCCAAAACACATTTCTGCTAACAGTAAGTGTGTTCTTGTATAAATTCCTTAAGACCTGGTATTTTAGAATTTAAAGGCCAGAAATGTAGCATTTAAAGAATTCATTTATCATTCTATAACATTATTTTACCACTTCCAAATTAGTGTGTGTACACACATATGTACATATTCCCAAATAAATTTACTATTTTTGATGCAGACATATAGAAATGGAGATCATTAATTCTGACATTCAAAACTTGTTTAATTTTTTACAGTCTTATTATTTACTAAGAAAAGGGTAGAAACAGTGATACCTCAGCAGCACTGAGCACACCTACTGTCCAGATCTGAATTTCTAAATACCTTCTCTAGTAAACAGAAGTAGGCATCCTTGGAGACCAGGGTTAACATCACCAGTAATAAGTCATCACTATCATCTATTCCGTGGTATGAAGTGATGAAAAGGACACTTCACCTCTGTGGTATTTTCCTTCAAGAAACTCATAACTCCAGATCAACCATGAAAAAAAAACATTTAAACAAACCCAAATTGAGGGAAATGTACAAAATACCAGTACTTCTCAGACTTTTCAAGTTCAAGATAAAAAAAAAAAAGAACAACTGAGAAAACTGTCAGGGACTAGAGGAGACTAGAGAAGCTTGATAAGTAAATGTAACATGGTATTTTGGGATTGTATTCTGGATTGGGAAAGCATATTAGTGCAATATAAATGAAGTCTGTACTTCTACTAATAGAAATGTACCAATATATATTTCTCAGTTTTGACAAATGTACCATGATAATATAAGGTGTTCCCATTAGAGGAAACTGGATGAGGAATATATGGGAAGTCTCTGTGTTAACTTCATAATTTTTCTATAAAGTCAAATTTATTCCAAAACATGGTTTATTTTAAAAATACAAATTTCTGACACATGTGAAAGCCTGTTATATTAACTTGTATAGGACATCGTTCCCAGTATATTTGATTGAGTATATTTTCCAAACATGCATATACTTTGTCTAGTTTGTTTTCTGATGTCTCCCCAATATCTAAAATACCTGACATAGAGTAGGCACTCACTGAATGCTTGTTAAATGTTGAATGAATACACACATATTGCCTTCTGAGAACAAATTTATGTGTTAACCTAAGGATAACACTAAGGAAGAATATGCACATCAGAAATCCCTCTGATCTGTTTCTGAGTCATTGTGATTTCCCAGTGTATTATTTTGTAAATTATTAGGGCATTCTGATTAGCCCTTAACTGCACAGTCCAGGAGTAGTTTGTTCCATTAGGAAAACAAGAGAGAAAGATCCTGGAGGATTTGGTAACTGTCAGGTTCTTTATTAGAAAAATAGAGGTTTGTGCCACTGATTCTAATTCAAGGAAACTGAAGCCTTTTTATAATACTACAAGATTAATAGATCAGGTATTAGAAAGTGGCACAATACTAATTTTCTATAAATTAGTCATTTTATCTCTATTACTATAAAAAAAATCTAATGGGAAAGGCACTTGATTAAAATCCTGGCCTCACTACTGACTACATATGTGATTATAAGAAAGTTTTTAAATCTCTCTAACCCTCAATCTCTAGTAAAAATGAAACAGTGTACCTTACAAAGTATATGTACAATCCTTTACTAATGAAAATACAAGATCGATTACTATAACAAATGCTCAAGAATGCAGTGACTCTCACAAATAGAGGTCTGTTTCTTCTTACCTAACAACCCATGAATGGAATAACACCTTTTCGGAAACTCAGGCTACTCCATCTTGTTGCTTAGCCACCTCTGATCTGCATTCCTTTTTTTGTCTCCCCACATGTTCAACTCACCCTCACTTCCATGTTCCAGGTCACAGGAAGGAGGAACTCTGAAGGAAACACATCTTTCCTTCCAAGGGTGTGACCCAGAAGTTATCAGTTCCACTTACATCTCATTGGGCACAACCTAGTCATGTGGCCCCAGCTAACTGCAATGTAAGCTGGGAAATGTTTTCTTTAGCTGGGAAGCAATTCGGCCAAACTAGTATTTTGATGTTGTGGAGACTGATGAGAAAATTAGTAGAGCCTGCCATAAGCACTTGGAGTAGTGCCTTACGTGGAATGAATGCTCTCCGAATGATATTCTCTTTAACTCATCTGAAAGAGGATGAGAATAAAAGGATAAGGTAGGTGGCAACATGTTATCATCTATGACTTTTGCCATTAGTCAGAATTTAGGATGGACCTTTCTGGGAAGCTATGTTTGCATTTGAAAACTTGTTTATCTTCTTTAAATTAAGACACAGCTCCCAAGAAATGATTTATATTCATCCTAAGGAAAATAAGCTGCAGAATGATTTCAAAGTGTACTTGTTTTATATGTAATGGCCTCAGCTAGCTTTTCCTCTAGCTCAGGAAACTGGTAGATTAATTTAGGAACAGTGTCCTGGTGGAAAAAGAAAGATACAAAGTAGAATTATGTTGCTTATTTTTATATAGAAATTCTTTTATTTGTTCAGTTGTAATTTTGTCAATTGGAATTCTACTTTCTACTTTTAGCATGGGTTCACTTTTAACAATAATTTATACTTACAGATGTGGGACTGCATCTTTAGGAACTTTTTTTCCATTTTTCTATTGATTTAGTTTGATTGGTTTCCTGAGGATATTTACTTTAATGTGCTGAACTTGGACAGTTTTGTTCCAGGCAAAGCAGTTTATACAGAGCCCCATTCATGCTGAGCTTCCCTAGGACATTCTTACATTCATGGGTCCCAAGTGTATGTTGTCAGACCCTTGTGTGATCTCTCAGACCACACTGCTCTCCAGTTGGTAGCTGGACACGGATTGGTTGGCCCTGTCCTTGAGTTGACAGCAATATGAAGGATGAACGTGATACTGATGGTGTTAATGAGCTTGGGTTGCTATGAGAAAATGCTATAGACCCAGCCACTTAAACAACAGCCATTTATTTCCCACAGTTTTGCAGATTAGAAAGTCCAAGGTCAAGGTTCCCACAGATTCTGTTTCTGGTGAGAACTCTCTTCCTGGCTTGTGAGTAGCTGCCTTCTCTCTGTGTCCTTACAGGGCAGATAGATAGTGCTCTGGTGCTTACCCTTTGTTAGAAGGGGGTCGGGGCTTCCTAGATGGCACTAGTGGGAAAGAACCTGCCTGCCAGTGCAGGAGACATAGAGACACTTGGCTTCAATCCCTGCTCGGGAGGATCCCCTGGAGGAGGGCATGGCAACCCACTCCAATATTCTTGCCTGGAGAATCCCCGTGGACAGAGGAGCCTGGTGGGCTACAGTCCGTGGCTCACAAAGAGTCGGACACAACTGAAGCAACTTAGCACAGCACACATAAGGATGTCAGCCCTATTGGATTATGGCCCCACCCTTATGACCTCATTTAACTATTACCTCTCCATAGGCCCTGTCTCCAACTATAGTCGCATTGAGAGTTAAGGCTTCAACATGTGAATTTTGGGAGAATACGAGTATCAGTCCATAACACTGATCTCTCTTTCATTTATCATGACACATACAAAGGGTAAATGTTTTTTTTTCTAATACTTGTCTTGTGTCATCCTAGGTAATCTACCTAAAATTTCCAAAGCAGAATAAAGATTGTTTCAGTGGCTTCCTTAAGTCTCTCTCTCTAATGAGATAACCAGTTTAATATCGGATTGGCACCACAAAATGCTTTAGGAATTATAAAATGTTAGGATTTTCAATGTTTTAAAATATTTACAAAGCACTCTACAAGGCACTGGAGAAAGCAATGGCAACCCACTCTAGTACTCTTGCCTGGAAAATCCCATGGATGGAGGAGCCTGGTAGGCTACAGTCCATTGGGTCACTAAGAGTTGGACACGACGGGGCAACTTCACTTTCACTTTCTACAAGGCACAAATTTCTTGCTTACATTAGTTCTTGAATCATTAAAGGAACTCTATGAGAATGGTTGGAACATTTTATTGACTCTATCTTATGTACTAGAAAATAGAAGTTTGGGGAAGTTCAGTGATTTTCCTAAGGTCTCAGAGCTAATAATTAATTGTCACTGAGACTTTATTCCAGGCCTTCTCATTTATAGTCCACAGTAGGCCAAATAAAAGTTTGAATTTGTCTCTAGAGTCACTTAGGTTTGGTTTCAATCCAAGATTTGTCACTTAATAACAGTAAGTTGGCAAGTTACTTAACTCACTAAAATACCTCAATCTTCTCTCTGACATGAAGTAAGAGCGTCCACCTCATAGGGTTCTAACGAAAATTAAATTATGTAATGCCCAGAAATCACTTAGCATAGCACCTGCTGCATAGGAAATTGTCCAAATTGTTGGTTATTATTTTTAAGCACATATTAAATCCTGTTGCATTGAATTTAACTCAAACCAGATTTATACATTTTACTAGACTTTAGAATAAAATGTTATTCAAACTATGTAGGCTATTGACTAATCTCGAAACACTTTACAAACTTATAAGTGTTAAAATTCATAATAGGGATTTTATTGAGATGTGAGCATCTGATTTGTGACCTCAATATCTGTGTGTTAGGGGATGACAAAGGATGAGATTGGTGGGTGGCATCATCAACTTGATGGACATGAATTTGAGCAAGCTCCAGGAGTTGGTGATGGACAGGGAAACCTGGCATGCTGCATTCCATGGCATCACCAAGAGTTGGACACGACTGAGCAACTGACCTGAACTGATACTTATTCTTGACTGGTCAAGCAACAGATTAAAACAGTTAACAATTAGCAGATATTTTAAACTCTACCAGTTATACTTTAAGCAAACCAGTGGGATGTTTTTAGTTATCTGACTTTAGTTTGAGGTCATTTAGTGCTCATTAATAAAAGAAACTGAGTTTGGAATTCTCATTTTTCACTTCACACCAGTAATAGTCAATATAGTCTAAACTGTGATCAGAGAAAAACATTCAAGAAGCAAAGATCTAGCTGCTTGAAATTTGCTGTATAGGAAAGTCAGATTATTTGTGACTATTCTCCACATTATCTAGGATTTCATCCATTGAAATGTATACTTTTTTCTTTTTGTCAGATTCTACAAGCCTAAGGTAAGAGGTCATCATCATATAGACTTAGGTCAACTATAGTGCCTGAAAGATATTCCTCTAATATGCCCTGATTTTTCAAGTAATTTAATGTGTACATATGGGTAAATTAATAACACATACTTTAATTTGTTTTGCACATTAGTCCTGTTTCTCATGGACCAGGAATACAGAATAGGTACTTAGAGAATTTCATACATTTCTCTATTTGATATGTATGCATGTTTGTGGTTGTATGAGTATGGGAATGTTCTTATTCAGATAATTAGTTCTAGTTAAAGTTTCATGCAGAAGGTCAAATAAGCTTTTCTCAAGTAGAAGAAACTACACCAAACCAGGAGTTAACACAGTTAACAGTTGGAGCAAAGTCAATTAGCGATGTAAATGTCATTACCTCTGATTTGTGATCAGCTAAACAAAGTGAAGGGCCAGTGTGACTTTCAGGCTTCAGGAACAGAATAAATGACTTTGAAATGTAAAAGAACTGCTTCGCCTTGGGTACATAGGTTAGTCAGTTCTGAATCATCTTGATTGAGAATTAATAATACTGATGCTTGAGTTATTCTAAATGGGTCTCAGTTCTGGTCAGGGCAACTATGAATACATGGATGAGTAAGGTGGATGAGAGCATAAAATTATTTTCTTTCTTTGCCTCATAGATGACCTCAGAGTGACTGTACACACACAGACAGCCACACATTCCCCCATGGTTTTGATTTGAGAAAACAAGATAAATAAGCCTATGACATCAGCTTGTTTTTGTGTTCAATTGTCATAGTTTTAAGATATGGTTTAATCTGTGGTATGCACCCAGGAAGGATGTATGTAACTCACTCATTGCCCTTTTAACAAATGCTCATTGTATTTTCCCTACTAGCTTCTTGAGAGCAGAGACCATGTCTTACTCAGGCTGAACACACAGTATACACACACAAGTAGATGCTTAAAGAATGTTTGAATGAATATATAAATGGCTTTGAGCTTGTGAATGGAAGTTACGATCCTTAAATGTGCAACATACATAAAAACATAAAATGAAGAATATATCAGTGTATATGGATGTGTATACATGCACAAACTTATATACCATATTCAAAGTACTGTCACTAGTTAAGTAATTAATATCTAAGGTGTTTAGCCAGCAGTGACAACCTATCAATATGTAATTCAATAATGAAGCAGGAAAAAAAAATTTGAACTTTCTAGTTTCTTAATGTGAAAACAACAGACATATGTCACTTGAAAAACATTATGAGTGTTAAATATAACATCCCAAGAATGTTGACGGAAATTCAAGCCCACTGACATATTTATTCATGGCACAGGTTTTGGGGGTGTTTTTGGAACAAAGACAGACTTAGTTCAAACCACAAAGCAATTATTTTGCTTATTGTTTCCCTTACTGTGGACAGAAATACTATTCATTTTAGTAACTTATGAGAAATACTGAAATACTGAAATCTAATTATCCAAACATTTGTTAAAAATCAATTATGGCTTTTTTCTAATATGAAGTTATACACTTATAAGGATTTAATAAACTCTTAAATTAGCCTGATTCCCACCCCTCAAGATTAGTAATTATAAAAGAATACAGGTCTAGTTGCCACATTTTATACTAGAAATATACTGACATAGCATGGGCAGAGAGACTATTTAAAGTAGACACCAGCTCTGTGTAATTAGACAATCACAGTTGTAGGTCTTACAGATGGAAAAAGAGCTATATTCATGTATACTTTGTGGTATATTATTAGAGAAACTATGTTTCACTGTGAAATTGTGTGTCTTATATAGAATTAACTTTATATTATCTACTCAAATTAGAACTAGGAGTAGCTTAAATAGAAAAAAAAATTATAAGATTTCATCTGAGGAGAGAGCTTTGGCTTACTAATCCTGACCTTAAAAAACAAGATCCCTTTGATTCAACAGGGAGTGGATAGCCTGCTCATTGTCTCATGGAGTGTTCAGGAAGGCAAACATGCTAGTATAGCAGAGATTACTGAATCCAGTCAGTTGGATTTATTCTGTATTTGTTGAACTGCCAGAGTTTTTTAACCCATCATTGATATGGGATTGGAGCTGAGATCCAAACTCCTTC